CGTCAGAGGGACAGGGCAGGATGGCTCCTGCTGCCAGGGATGGCTGCAGGGGGTGAAGCTGGGGCTGCAGTCAGGGCTGCCCAGGGCTGTCCTGCAGAGCATCTCCTGCAGCCCTCAGGGCTCTTGGCCAGCCCAGGGCATGTGCCACCTGCCAGGGGAAGCTCTCAGCGCTGCCCAGGGCTGTCCTGCAGAGCAGCTCCTGCAGCCCTCGGGGGTCTTGGCCAGCCCAGGGCATGTGCCACCTGCCAGGGGAAGCTCTCAGCCTGCTTGGCAGCTCTCCATGGATGCTGCAGGGGAGAAATTTGAGCTGGAAGGAGCCAGCCCCATCAGGGCAGATTCCTCCTTCTCTGGAGATGGTGCTGCATGGCCAGGGCTGCTCTCAGCTTTCTCCTCAAGGGAAGGAAAAGGGGCTGTCAGCTTTGGCTGTGTCACTGAGACTCATGCACTGTCACCCTGGATATCAGCAGATGGGCCTCAGATTTCCCTCAGAAAGTGCCTTCTCAACCTCCTCTCCCTACAGACAGCAGCAGCAGCACCTTGGCTTGCAGCATCTCTGTTTGTCTTCCCTGCCCTTAAGGCCCTGGTGCCAGGGAGATGCCCCTGGGCAGTGCCCTGTGCTGGGAGGGGTCTGCAGGGCAGAGCTGAGCCCCCAGGGCTGAGCTGGGCTCTGACAGCACTGGCAGGGACAAGGCTTAGATAGAGAGAATCAGCTCCCAGTAGGCACAAGTTCAGGCAGCAGAGAGCCAGACCAACCCTTGGTATCTCATCCTGTCCAGCTGCACAGGGAAAGAGAGAAGGGCTTGGAGAAAATAATTTTTAAACTGGAGAATTCAAAAAGTTCACTTTATTTTTCAAAAAAATTTAGGTGTGATCACGCTGAAATCAAAAGCGGTGAAATGAACTGTTGCGGTGTATTTTAAACTTTCAGGTCCCTTCCCCAGGTGTGCCAATACCGGTCTCCCTCCCCCCCTCGCCTCCTTGCTGAGTAAGTCCTGTCAATCAGGCTTAACATTCCAACAAGGCGTCGTGCGGTTGGGCAAGTTCAAAGGAGGCCTGTCAGGCCCAGAGGTCATTGGCCTGTCTAGGTGTCCCTC